CAATATTTTCGATTTTTTCGCTTGATATCCGTCACCGGTTCTTTTCAAAAATGCGATCAGCTTGGGGAATTTGCTTATATCTATGTTGTCGTAAATTATCAAGCATGACTTAACCATAGAATATTGCGCCCATAATGTGGAAGACTTGTAATTCTTTGCATTTTCACTGAAGTATGCCAACAAAACATTCTCGCTGTATACTTGAACATTTTTCTCGGCGCACCACTTTTTGAACCGATTGTAGGCTATATCGTATAAAGATCTTGACTTCGTAGGCAGCAAATTGCTTATTGCAATATTTGCAGCCTCCACAATCTCTTCCGACTCACAATTATTCATTGTGCACTAAACAAACTTTAAACTAAACCAAACTAGCACCTTAATTTGACAATTCTTTTTGTTTGTTTATTTTGTAGTTATGACAATAACTCAACGACTACTAAATAAATGCTCAAATCCGAATACAATAATTCTGGTGCTACTTACTTCATAATGACAAAATATGTGTTTTTAAGTTAATGAGACCGTGGAAAAAATAGTATATACCATTCGGGAGAGATGCTATTTTGTCCTCGGTGCATTGTAGCCCTCGGGCTTCAAATTGCACCTCTGCCAAAATAACGCATTTCTCTCCCTTATAGTATAATGTACTATTTAGACTATACGCTAAAGAAGTTTTGGTATATCTTTTAAAAATGTTAATCGTCTTCTCCTGCCCAGAAACAATGATTTTGGAGTTCGGAGAATCGGACTCGGTTTACTGATCTAAATATGAATACTTCACAAAATATATGTTGGAGCACAATAGTATTAATGCTCGACAATAACGCTAAAAATACAAGTTAAGAGTTAAGAAAATAAGTATAACGAAAGGACACCCTATGAAGAAGGTTGTTGTGCCTAATTGACTCTCTGGAAACTGTAACTTTTTCAAAATTATAAATCATATACCTGCATAGAGTAGATATTATTTAAAATTCACTCTGAATAGCACCTTAAATATTTTATATTTTTCATTTTTTTAATATCATGAAATGGTTGACTTCTTTTTCAAAAATATTTGTCATATAATTGTCGAGACATCTATTAACCGAACCATAATTTGATTGCACCAACAGCCAATAGAGTACCCACGAGAAGTGGTATATTTTTAAGGAAAATAGACGCAACTGATATTTCTCATTTGTTGTTTTTATATTCCTTCAGCACGGGGCAATGCGTCCCTTTGTCACTCTGTCGGTTAGCTTAAAGGGAAAACATGATTATTCTACAAGTGGAAAAAGAAACACTAAAATTGTAATTTCTTGTGGGTTAAAACTGACACTTTACTCTAGAGACAGAAAGAGAAATATTATCAAACAAGAGTACAGTGAAAGCGATTCGCCAAAGCAAACTTTCTAGTTTACCTACAAATTAATTTCTATTTGATAACCTGACCAGCCTTGAACTGCGGTAAATCCGGGATTGACCCTTGCCAATGTCAAAGAAATTTTCTTTAGTAAGTTGTCAAGTTTGCTCGGTAAAGGAAACTTTAGGATGGTGTCCCTCTAAAAGTTTCATGTCAACTACGTTAACGACTTCTACTTCAGGACAAGGTGGAGATTCCACTAGCTTCTAAATTAGGAATGTGATTGTTAACTTTTATCAATAATTGAATGTTAAAAAATGTTCCACATGTAGCAGAGTAACAAAAATAAAGTACCATATTTCGAAAATGAGAAGGAACATAAATGTTTTCAAAATCTATATGCCATATTTATTAATTTTGCAAAAATTCCAGTCATGTAATTTCAATCGACAAATTTCTCAGTTACATTCATTATTTAAATGTCAGCCTGTAATAGACTTAACATTAAAATTGAACACACTTCTGTTGCAAATGATTTTTAATATTAGATAATTTAAGAACAGTAAGAAAACGCAATATATTTTGGGTATATCGTAAAAACACAAGGACACTGGTAATTACGTTTTCCACTAATAAAGGAGTAATTTTTTAGGTCATTTTAAGAAAATAAGTTTTTATATACAGGGTGTTTCAGGATTAAGTCGACAAACTTTAAGGAGTTATTCCTCGTAAAAAAAATAAGAAAAAAATGAAGCATAAATTTTTTTCCAGAGACGCTTTATTTTCGAAATATAAGGGCGTTAAAGATTTTAAAAAAAATCGAATTGTTTAAATAACTTCTAATTGAAGAAGGCTATTTAAGCCAAATTTGGCATGACACATCTTCTTATAAGATACCATTTTTCCATAGAAGTAGAAGTCCCGCAAGCAAACAGTGGCGGAGTTATGGGGACTCATTAAATTATAAAAAAATTAATACGGCCCTACTGAAAATAAAAAATGATGCTGTTTTTAGATAGAACAGTTTGTTATTGACAAAAAGTGTACATTCACTTTTTTTCCTAACTCATAGTTTTCAAGATCTGTTAGAAGATATTCTGCTTAATACTCGAATGAACAGTTGGTTTCAACTAGATGGTTGTCCTGCGCATTTTGGTAGCGGTCCTAGGGAGTGGTTAAACATTAATTATCCCAGGAGATGGATTGGTCGTGGAGGACCTGCAGCGTGGCCCGCACGTTCACCGGACTTGACACCGATGGATTATTTCGTTTGGGGTGCTGTTAAACAAAAAGTCTACGAGGTGCCAGTTGATACCCTAGAAGATCTAAGACAGCGAATAGTCCAAGCGTGTCGAGAATTAACTCCAATTCAGTGTCGATCGGCCACTACCTCCATAATTAGAAGATGTCGTGCTTGTCTACAGTCCGGAGGCGCCCATTTTGAACAAAATATTTTTTAAATCATTTCATTTTTGATTCACTTTTCGCTTTGTCTAGGTATAATATTAATTGGTAATTTTTTGGTTGTTTCAATTTACAAATAAATTTTCATGTATTGTTTGCCATCTTATTTTATTTAAAAGTACACAACACAAGTAAATGAAGTGACTACAAACCGCCTGAAAAAATTTAGGAGTATTGCAAGGGTCGTTACGTTGTCGCATTACGACATAGTCACATTAGATGTTAGGTACTTAAATATTTCTATTGTTTTCATCATCATTTTTTTTTTTAAAAAAAACCACCCGATATCTCAAAAACGAAGCATCTCCTAAATAATTTTAATACTATTGGTTAAACCCAAGGGAAGGGGAGACAAAAAGGCTTATTTGACTCACACATACTCGAGACTAAGACCAATTTTAATAGGTACTATATTTTTTTAGGTTTTATGAGGAACGTCTTCCTAAAGTTTATCGACAGAATCCAGAAGCACCCTTCCGAAAAATCAATTTTGCCATGAAACTATAAGAGTTAGGAAAAAAGTGAATGTACACTTTTTGTCAATAACAAACTGTTCTATCTAAAAACAGCATCATTTTTTATTTTCAGTAGGGCCGTATTAATTTTTTTTATAATTTAATGAGTCTGAGTCCCCATAACTCCGCCACTGGTTGCTTGCGGGACTTCTACTTCTATGGAAAAATGGTATCTTATAAGAAGATGTGTCATGCCAAATTTGGCTTAAATAGCCTTCTTCATTTAGAAGTTATTTAAAAAATTCGAATTTTTTTAAAAATCTTTAACGCCCTATATTTCGAAAATGAAGCGTCTCTGGAAAAAAATTATACTTGATTTTTTTCTTATTTTTTATGAGGAATATCTCCTTAAAGTTTGTCGACTTAATCCTGAAACACCCTGTAGATATGTTCTAAACAGTGTTGTTTTTTATGTACAGGATGTTCAATTTCTGAAAAATAATACGTCTATCTAGAAAGATTCATGAAACATTGACGGAAATATTAAAAAGTATTCTCACTAAGAACTTCAGAATAATCCATGAGTAAGAGAAAGGCTAATAGTCTCCTACTTCCTCAAGTATGGGGTGCTGTATGAGTTACAATAGTTATTTAATTAGTTCTGGCACATTGAAACTTATGTGATGTGTCATGTGTCAATACGTATCACACCCTTTTGATTGATTTTCAGATATATAATTCACTCTATATTGAATGAAAGAACTATAAAATAAACTATTTTGTTTTTTTTTGGAATTTGTATATTTGTCTAAAAAACATCGGTAACTCAACACTGATAGGAAATTTAACTCGTATCAGTATTATTTGAAAAATATATTGTAACAAATCCACCTAGACCTTTTCAGATTTTTATGCTCTAAAAATCAGTGACCCCCAAAATGTTTCTTCCTCGAAGGTTTCGCACAAAACAAAAAATCAGTTACAGTTTCATAAAAACATGAATTTGTTGGTGAAATATGTGCTGTGTTTATGTCTTCATTAAAGGTTGTGGACCTCTGCTCAAGTTTGAAATGTTGGTAAAGTATTTTTTAGAGAATTTACTCAACATTTCGCTTTTCCTTGTAATAAATGTCATTAGCATCAGTATAATACATACCAGTTAATATACAAACGGAAAGCATTGTAACGGGGCACATTCCCGTAACAAGTTGAGCATGTATGGGTTTAATGGTCGATAATTGCAAGGCCACAGTTCCGGGCCCTCAAGTGGGACAATTTCAATTAAATTCATTGTTCCAGATGGCTCGCACCCACATAACACTTCAACAACCTTGTAGCTTTTCCGAAAATAGATCGCTTCTTACGGTTTCCTCATTAAGTCTAAGTAATTTCCTCTGTTTCTTTTAACTGTAATTATCATAATGTTAAATGGAAACGTTAGTTTGTTAAGTGAGATTTGAAATGCAAATTAATTTAGAAACGAGAGGAATACGAAATAGTTATTAATTGAATTAGTATCCGATTAGTGCATAAAACTGGAATAAAGAAATTCATTTTAATGTTTGTTGGTGTAACTTTTTAAAACATAAATATATTTTTTGCGAAACACTTTTGACGAATTTTAAAATAAGTTTGATCGTCCATAAAAAATAAAAGAATGTGAAATTTTTAAGTCATTAACGATTTTAATACTACTGTAATTAGTTCCATTTCAAGATTTCGAATTATTTTAGGTCGTCGCTGTATTACTGGGCCCACTACGACTTCTTCAACAACACGAAACTGGGCGAGCCAGTGCCTGGGAAGCAATGCGATGAGGTCTTTGCCTCCTGGAGGCAGACGAGGGGGTGGCTGAGATCACCACTGAACACTTTGGTTTACAAACAGACTCAGTCCAGCGAAGACGTAACGTGTCTTTACAGATTCGTCACTGACAGAAGACTTTTTGCTAGGGTCATCCTGACGGTAACCAGCGTATATTTTAAGGTCAGCAAACGCTATTTACTTTATCTTATTTTAGCCATTCCCAAATATATCGAGTAGAGCGTGATTATTTCTCTACAGCTTTCTTTCAAAGCATTCATAAATATATAGTCCGGGAGAAAGCGACAGAAATTTTGCACCAATTCCTACAAAGTTGATTTTTTCTCATTTTGTTGTTTTGATATCGTAAGTAAACGAAACGGCAGTCTACCGCGCCAATGTGGGGGCAAACGTTAGTAACAATTTTTTAAACATGTAAATAAATAATACTTAAATGCCTTATACCTACAAGGCTGAAACTTTTTAGAGTGATCAATTATACNTCCGTTTACTTACGATATCAAAACAACAAAATGAGAAAAAATCAGCTTTGTAGGAATAATTACATCAATAATGTCGCTGCCTCCCGGGCTAATAGTTGTCTATAGTAGGGTGTCTTTAAAGGGTCTGTACAACGTTCCAGCATATACAGGGTTAGTCATTAATATACAGCTGAATGGCAGATTGTTAACGTCAAAATATAGCGGTTGAGCCAAACGTGCTGGAATCAATCGTTGCTCCTTTTCGTTCTACAGGGTGTTAAAGTTGAAAAAATATTTTCGATTTTTTTCAATATTTTAAGTATGTATGGACCGATCGTTTTAAAAATGTGTAGTTTTACGTTTTTTGAAGTGGCAAATACGAATATGCAAACAGTGTTGGGGACACGTCTAGAGGGCGCTAGTTATACTGTCCTATCATTGTAAAGATATGTCTAACTTTTTGTATTTTCTAATTTTGAATTTTTTAAATAGAAATCATTGAACTATGTTCAATTCTAAATAAAACAGGTATACTTGTTAGAAATCAATAAACTCAACCGTTTTCGAAATACAGAAGTCTTAAGTTTTTGAGACATCTTAACAAATTATTAACCACCAGCGACTTCAATGCACTATCTTAGCCTTTTATTTAAATTTTGACTGACGTTAAATAAAGTCCTATGTTGTTTGATATAATAAACTGATTCTTGAATATTTGTTATTCTTGACCATTAATAACAGTGTCCCACAAAAAAAAAGTATCGGATCTGGTATTCGGACCCATGTATTTTTTCCCGCTGAATCCGAATCTGCCTTCAGATTTGGCCCAACGGGTCTGAGTTTTCAGGAAAATTCAAAAAACAGATCAAAATTCACAAAAAAACGTAATTTACGATAGACGAAAGTTATAAAAAATCAAATTATTCTACCACTAGACGTATGATTTTTCACTCTTTTAATTCCAATTTATCATCATAGAGTCAGACAAGCTGGTCCAATTTCATTAAAAAAAAAATAGATTAAAAACGCCATTTTCATGGCGTTCATTCGTGTTGCAGAGTTCTGGATCCATCTTTTCATCCACCCACCCATTTATGAATTCATACATCTTTGTATCCAGTCGTTCATGCATGAATACGCATATTTATTCATCCACCTGTACCACCTATAAATCCCACCCATCCACCCATCTATCCATCTACTTTTTGTACTGAGAGATGAGATAACAGCCTAGATTGAGAATGCAATAAAACTTGTAGAACGAGTTGTAGAATATTCTACTTTCTAAACAAAACAAAACGATATCTATAAATTATTTTTGTTGCTATAACGTGTTCTCTTTTCTTCAAAGAATCTATGCAAACGCTTACGCTTTCGTTTGGTCCTTCTGTTTTTCGTTTCTCTTTTTACAAGCAACAAACCAATCCAGATGTGAATGAAATAAGTGCAGCTTGTAGTTCATCAAACATCCCAGATCTTGGTCACAAGAGCCCTAAATACGAAGAAATTGTATCGAAAATGATAAAAGACTTCCAAGATCTGGGATGTTTGATGAACTACAAGTTGCACTTTCTTCATTCACATCTGAATTGGTTTCCTGAAAATCTTGGAGATTATAGCGAAGAACAAGGCTAACGATTTCATCAGGATATGAAGATTATAGAACAGATATATCAAGGAAGATGGGATGAAAACATGTTGGCCGATTTTTGTTGGTTGTTAAAAAGAGAAACGAAAAGTAGAGGGACTAAACGAAAGCGTAATTCTTTGCATAGATCCTTTGAAGAATAAAAGAAGACGTTATAGCAACAAAAATAAGAATAATTTGTAGATATCGTTTTCTTTTATTTAGAAAGTAGAGTATTCTTTTAGGCTGTTATCTCATCTCTCAGTCTCTCAGTACAAAAAATAGATGGGTGGATGGGTGGGTTTTATAGGTGGTACAGTGGATGATAGAAAGATGTATGAATTCATAAATGAGTAGGTGGATAAAAAGATGGATCCAGAACTCTGCAAAACGAATTATGCCATGAATATGGCGTTTTTAATCTATTTTCTGTTTTTGAATGAAATTAGACCAGCTTGACTGACTCTATGATGATAAATTGGAATTAAACGAGTGAAAAATCATACGTCTAGTGAACTGGTAGAATAATTTGATTTTTTATAACTTTCGTCGATCGTAAATTACGTTTTTTGTAAATTTTGACCTGTTTTTTTAATTTTCCCGAAAACTCAGACCCGTTGGGCCAAATCTGAAGGCAGATTCGGATTCAGCGGAAAAAAATACATACGAATACAAGGGTCTGAATACCAGATCCGATACTTTTTTTGTTTGACTATAATGAGTGTGAAAAAAAATTGTTTATAGCACACTCCATATACAAGGTATTAGAAGTTTGACTGCCTATTTTTAACAGACGATAGAATACATTAAAATAGGGAAAAAACCTAAACCCAACCATTTCCGATGCACAAAAGCTTGATTAATTAAGGAATATTGACATAATTGCGTGTATATAAGGCCATAAAATACAATGTTTCATCACCTTTTTAAAATTCTTTATGCTTAATTCTAAAAAATAATTAGCGTTGTAATGAATTTAAAATTCGATAAAATTCATATCGAACAATGTGACGACAGCACGGCGGTTAACACGAGGTACTAAGCAGTCTAATAACCAGCAATACGTAATTCAGTTGGTATCTGGAATTGGACCGTGTCTGGGTATTTTTTGCTTACCACTATTTCCTTTTCTTGAGGTGTTTTTCAGCGAGTGCGCGAAAATTGGATTCGTGCGTGTATCGAAAATGGTGGTGGACATTTTGAACATATGTTGTAGTTTGTTTTGTATTTTTGCGTTTAAAAATCTGTTTTTTGGTACGTCCCTAAATTATTTTTAATACGTATGATTATTTGGACGTCTTCATAATTTGATTAAAAGTTTAGTTCCTGTTTTAAGAGATTCATAATTACTAAAATTCAAGCTAAAATTTAAGCACAACACTATCTTGGTACTACAAAATCGATACATGTTATTTTATTTATTTAAAAACTGGAAAACAATTAATTGTGTTGAAATTTACTAAATGTTACACAATATACAATATACAATACACAATAATAGTTGTTTACATTTTTTCCGTAAGACAAGTCTGCCGCGTACACGTATTTTGAAAACTGTTAACTTACGCCTCTGTAATATACAATTTTTTGTTCATTTATGATTAATCTATCTCATGCTAATGTAATGGCAGTCAAACTTCTTACACCATGTATACATATTTTACAAAAAACTGATGATCTCTTTAAACAGTTCCAAGACAAGCTAGAATTTCTACTTGTAGGCAGTCCGCCCATCTAGTTTACAATTTCCATGTCGACAAAACGTAATCTAAAGAAACCCGCATACGGGGAGCCTCGTAGTGTGGCTGTCTCTAGATTCTTATTACTTAGATGCTCACGGTGTCGAGGCATCTAGTCCCTGTCTTCTCGATTCTCGATCGCACTAAATGACGTCACGAACTAGCTCGGCAGCAAACACGTATTTAAAACATTTATTTTGCATCGCATCCATTATTAACTAACAACCTCTAAATGATTTCTAATATTTTCACTACAAGGTTTTAGATCATTTCTGGACATTTAAAAAGATATGTGCAAATTGCCGATTGTTAAATAATGCAAATTTTCCAAAAATTTACTAAATCGCGTTGTATGTATACAAAATTTGGTTGCAGCAGATCCTTGGCTGTCGTCAAAAAAACTGCATTTAAATAAATCGTGTTAGTGACCAAAGTCCGTGTTAATTTCAATTAGTCGTTTAGAGGGATTTATAAAATGTGGTTTGGACCTTATTTAGCTCTAGTATCTTAATAACAATAAAACAATAACACCATACATAAGTAGACTTAAAATTAAATATAAGAAGCATTCACACAAAGGTAATGTGGTAATAATAAATGGTGTTAGATATTTATTTATTTAACAAGTCACAACTAATCATTCTAATAATTTATAAATATTGGTATTAAACACTGGTTAAATAATATTTTATTTTTCTTATAGAGATATGTTAGCGGTAGTTACTTGAAATATACCTACACAAACATAATATGTACTTATATTCTCAAATATACAGGGTGTCCCGAAATTTCATTCATTAAAACAAATTTAGAGGACCCGTATTTTTTCTTTTCGACAAGTGGCCCCCTCTTTCGGAGTTACAGCCCCCTGAAATCTGCCCCTAAGAAGTCTTTTTTATACGTATCTCAGAACTATGTTGTTCGAGAATCACTAAATTTGGTACACAGGGGTTTTATGACATGTGGAATCTCACAGTGCTACGCTTTTTGGCGAGAAACCCACTTAAGACACTTTTTCGTGTGCCCCGTTGTCTTTGGAACCAGAAAAATTTGTTTTTTTAATTATTTGTTAGCTAGAAAACCATTGAATTTAGTAACTTTTTTGTCTCTTGATGTTTGTTTCGTAAAACGCAATGTTTTTTAGGCAAATGGCGAATCACGATATGCATTCGATCACATTTTGACATTTTTCACGAAAACATTGCGTTTTACGAAAAAAGTATAAAGAGACAAAAAGTTTCTAAATTTAATGGCTTTCTAGTGGACTGATAATTTTTAAGAAATTTAAATATGCAAACAAATTTTCTTGGCTCCAAAGACAAGGGGGCCCACGAA